ATTATGTTACAAAAGGGAAGGACATGTTTCGGATTCATAATAAGCTCATCATCAGCCAAGGTTCATAACGTCATGAGAATGAAAAAATGTTCTTCAAAGTTGTAAAATCTAATTAAGTAGTGTTTTCTGTGAAGAAGGAGTTTCTCGTAGAAATGGATCACTGTTGCTCGATAAGCATTCGCTAAACGTGTGAAGAAGGCCATTTTGCTCAAAATGGAGTGATAGTGTTTGAAGGAAGAGTAAATCTCAAAATCCTCTCCACGAGATTTAATAGTTGAACATAGTTATGGAACGAATGAGAGGGACATGTGTCGGGCTTATATTAAGCTCATCATCAGCCAAGAGTATGGAGAAAAAGTGTTCTTCAAAGTTGTGAAATCTTATTTAGGAGTATTTCTACAAGAAACTTTTTGCTGCAAGTGCCAGTATGTTTCTAGCTTCATAAAATAACGGTTACCACACTGATAACATACTTGGGGTCACAAAGATTAACGACGAAGGGATGTGCTGACTGGGCATGTCGAGTTTGTTTGACTGATATTGCTTCTGAAGGAATTATAGCAGAGATATCTGTGGAACATTTCCCGTGGAAGTATCAATAAAAAATTGAAAAGTCGCCGACTTTTCTAAGATGTTCTAATGGGGTCAATGATATGGTGAGTATGGCGTTATTACAAACAAGACACTCTTGCATGAGCCTATTACCCCGAAAGATTTCACACAATTTTGATCGAAGTGATTTAGAGCAATAGTAATCGTTCAATACGATTAACACATATTTCGTGATATATTCTCCGCATCTTCACCATTTTCACGTACGATGGAAATAACTGAAATGTATCAGCAGCTATTTTTGTTGTTTTTTTTTTTGTAGCGGCTACTTACACCAGAGCCATCAGATTGTTTCAGTCTGATGAATATGTGGTGGATTTTTCTGGGAGAATTTCAAGGGCACTCTGTGTATAACAAATGAGGACAATTTGATATAATATTGATATCAGTCTTCATTGACCATTACCCTTTTCTTTGACGTGACCGCAGACGATTTGAATAATAACCAAATATTAGTAGAGAATGAAATGGAGAAGGATGAAATTAAATATTGCCGGTGTCGAATACTTCAAATCTGGTACACTACACTGTATTACCACTAACCAAACCGATATTTCAAACGCCTCGACACGTGTTTCGCTAACTATGTTAGCATCTTCAGATTGAAGATTGAAACGGGATTGAGATTCTTTTTGAGTTCTTTTCATCCACTTGAAAAGTCGTAGGATTCCGAAGTGTTAACTCAAATTTATGTCTACTCATCAATTCATCTACTATTTTGATATCATAGCCATTGACGCCATCAGCCACTTTATAAACAACACTTCTTTCCGCATCGAATGTTTCTTTGCTCAGATTGAATAAAATTAATCCATGTACTAGAGAATTTAAACTTGCCATTTTGTGTTGAAAACAGAGTGATTGAACTCATCAGGTATGTATCTGAATGTGTTAGTTTCTCTCCTGAGATCATCAAATTCTAAGTTGTTTCCGCTATATTTGAGCAATGAACATGATGTGCTTTCATTTTTCATTCCGGATATTATTACGAGGATATTGATCAACAGTTCCTGGGTTTTATTGTTTATATATGGTGTTTTTTAGGATTTCATTGATAAAGTAATTGCATTTGTTGGCTTTCATTGATGGACCCTGGAGAATTTCATTACCATCTTCTATTTTTACATGAGTGCGAAAATAATCTTCACCTGTTAATTCAATAACTTGCCTTGAACCTCTGATTTTGTTCGTGTAGTTGTCCTATTTGTCCTATTGAGAAATAATTGACTAGGTAAGGTACCTACCTACGTTCTCTTCAAACCACCTTGTCATAACTTTTGATTTGATTAGATTTCGATTCTTTGAGCATATAATATGCACTCTTCAAGTTATTGAAATACTACAGTAATGTATCATGAAACATATTCGATGAGGATTCAGTATCGTCTGCTTCGACCCCAGATGGGTCTATTTTGGCTAACCCCTAGAGGTTACAGTTCACCGTACAATCCCTATCATTTTGAAAAGTCCATGGTTGAACCAGGTGAGATTTGTCTGAAATCGATAGCCAAATATGTGGAATCTCCATCTTTCTGAGCAAAGGCATGACTATATAATATGTGTCCAGCTGTTTCGTATTCCACACAGCAGAACCAACAGTCCGTTTTTTGGGGCAGCAGTGCTGTCAGAATTCACAGGTTACCCTTGCCCCATTCATAGATCGGCCTAGTTATATTTCCGATGGTTCAGGCAGAACTGCCTCCGAATGGGTTATTCCTGGTGATTCAGACCAGTACGTGAGTCGTTTTTCCTCAGCCCACTCCGAGATAGTTTTTTCGGCCGCACTTGCGGTGATCCTAAAGTATGGTTCATGTCCTATGAACACAGATTCGGTTCCTTGTTTGGCGAGGATGTCGACTTTCTCGTTGCTCTCCACCCCCTAGTACCCAGGCACTCACAGCAAAGTAGCTTTGTTGTTTGCAGGTATTCTGGAGATTCAATACAGCTCCATTAAAGCTTGGAATTCATCTTGCTCAGTGCTTTACGAGCAGTCTGATACAATACTGATGTTCTTGTTCACTAGAGGTATATTCGTCAACTCTCTAGCACATAATTCAATTGCGAAGACCTCTGTCTAATAGATTGAAGCATACTTACCAAGATTGACAAAGATTTTCGTCTTCGGTTCTCTGCTGAACACACCGGCTCCAACTCCAAGCGGGGTTTTCAAACCAGCTGTGTACATTACGTGTTCGCTCTCTGAGAATTGGACTGATCCACATATCCACTCGTCTCTTTTCTGGATGAGGACTGAAATACTTTTTCACGTGTGCCTGAGTTGCCAACACGTTTGGTGATTTTTTGTTTTTCACAGTATCCCGGAGTGCACAGGAATCTGTGAAAAATCATCCTGGCTTTCCTCTTCCAGACAATGTGTAGGGGAATGAGGTTCAGGAAGTTTTTTATCGCTGCCGTTGGAGGAGAGGACATCGACCCTGTAATGGCCAGGCATGCTAGCCGCTGAAGACCAGCAAGCTCTGCCTGGCTGTCCCTTGCAGACCTTTAGTGCACCAGACTACCAAGTCACAAGCGACCATTGGTTTCATCATTGTTCCTGTTGAGTAAATATCATGGCATGTTTTCTTGATTGGGTAAGAAATCAAACAGGTAATTCTAACGTCGCTAGTGTTACTCTTCGTGATATTTTTGTTGCTTCTTATAGAGAGCTACCAAGAATTGGTATGGAGTTCTTTGGAAATAATATAAGTTGATCAGAATTGAGACCCTGGTAGGCAGTCAATGAATTGATATTGAAGTATCCAGTTAGGAAGATATGAACGAAGTATTTCAACTTATTTCCATGAATTTGATATAAGTTATCGAGTCTTTACTTTATCATTGCGAATGCGAAATCGTTTGGGTTGCCAAGCTATCATTATTTTCGGCAAATGGAAGATACAGTTACTACAAGTTTTCAAATCTGACACTTTTCATTTGTTCATTGTATCTACTTTCACATAGTGAATTATGCCAAACATAAAAATACGATGCTCATTTATCATTCTTTTTTTTCTCATTTTTCCTCGGAGAGCTGTGAAAATGCTGCTATTTTGCTGGTTTGGGAAGTTTCGTGTCTTTTCTGGTGACGGAATTGCCAATGGTGGACGTTCAGCTGGTATAGTCCTGAATATGTTATTTCCTGGTGTTTCTATTCGAATTTTCATCTCTTGAATCTCTGTTTTCATTGCAGAACCGAAAATATTTCAACAGCTTCTAATGATGTACAAAGCGCAGATACGGCCTGTTCTAGCATACTGTTCCCACATATGGGGGGTTCAGCACCAAAAGATAGGCTGATGCTCTTAGATTCCATCCAGAGAAGAGTCATCCGCCTGGTGGGTCACGCCACACTCACTCACTCTTTGACATCATTGGAACACCGTAGATAGGTCGGCGACCTTTCACTTTTCTACCGATACTTCCACGAGAAATGTTCTCCGGAAATCTCTGCTATCATTCCTCCACTAGCAATACCAGTCAGAGGAACTAGACAAGCCCAGTCAGCACATCCTTTCGTTGTCAACCTCGAAAGATGTCGAACAGCACTTTATCAAAACTCCTTCATCCATAGAACGGCTAGGCTCTGGAATTCATTGCCTGAGGAAGTATTCCCAACAACATATTATATTCTCCAGAAGTTGAAAAAAAATTTCAATACCTACCTCCCATCCCTATCCTCCCTAGGAACGCACGATGTTCTTTGAACATTATAGGGATTCCCTTTCGTGAGCTCCAAGCGATAAGAAAAATAAAAATATAAGGTGTTAAGGATATGAAGGCATACTGTCATTTCATAATGATATTTAGGCTACCTTCAATAGGAACATGTTATTAGGTATTACTACCTGTTTGTTCATGATGAATGAGAATGAATATAATGAAGTAGATAATATACTTTTCGACTTCAATTTTATCGTAAAGCATTGAGGCTTGCGTATTATATTCGCTCAAAGATTTCAGATCTTCAGTTAGCATTACTAGAGCATTCAAGACAAAATTATTAGATTTACGTCGAGATTCCTAGAGTCATGTCAAAATTCCGCGATTGGGAGATTGTAGTCGAGATTTCATGATAAATAAATATGATACTATGAGTTTGAAGTCGAAATAACTCAGATGAATTGTATCTATACGACTATAAATTATTATAATTGTTGATGTTATCTGATATGTAGCCCGCAGGAAACATTCCATGAGAGTCATGATATCGTTATCCTGATGGATTTAACGGACTTTCTTAAGCTATTGCAGTGATAGAGAACTGATGAAAAAATTAATAAGAGTGTTTTCATTTCCACATCTCCCCTACCTGATGATTCATAATTTTTTAGTAGTTAAAATTGAATTCGCCTTTTTGCAAGGCAAATCAATTCAATTTCGGGTGATAGGAATAATAGATTTCATTGTTAGGAACCAATAATTGTGATAACCTATTATAAATTATAATTGTAATTCAAAAGCTGAGTTGCAGATTCACATTGGTTGACGGTTGGCTTGATATAACATCAATCATATAGTCGGTTCATGCATCTGTGGTGAGAATTCTGAATCCTTCAAATTTCAAGATATTTTCGGTGAGTAGAAAGTTAAACCTGTAACAGACATTGATGATTCAGCATTCTGAAGATGAATTAGCAATAGCATTACTGTATATAAGTATCCTTCGCACGAATAATGACAAAAATATGAGAGAATATTTCCTACTCCTTTTCTCTCAATGTGCTAAGAACAAGATGAGTCCCTATCATTGGGACATTCAGTACACCATTCATTGTGCAATGTTAATCAGGCAAATGGAATAATTTTGATAATGATAAGACGGTTGTGGGTTGAAAAAATGTGGGGACGGACATTTTCAGAAGATCATCCATTTCAACAAGAATATTCTATGCAGGGAGTGTCATGTTTCATGTAACAGCGGCCAATACCTATATTCATCTTCAGCTGATGCTTCGGATCTATTGAGTGATTTTAGCCGAGTAATGAAATGAATTTGATAATGTATAAACGGGGCGAGTTCGTTACAACGCTCGGAGTGTGTCATCTAAAGCGGTCAATTCCAACTCTATATTTCGAAGAAACATTCTGTATTTCATTCCATTTTTTGATTCTTCAGAAGATTTTAGACAAATAAAACTGTTTTGGAAATATGTTTCATGGAATGAGCGAGTAATTTACAATAGTATTAGTGTATTTCATTCAAAAACAATCATCTGTAGAATTGTTATTTTGTATATTTCTGTTGAATGGTTTTTATTTTTGATATAGAGTTAACGAAATTCGCACGACTATACAACACTGACAACTAGTGGCATGCAGTCAAACAACAATATGCAATAAATCTGAAAACACTCAATATTTCCGAAACAGTTGAAGGTGCGTAGATATAGGTATGCACAGTGCTGCTCAAAAAAATCGTAACGACTTCTTTGAAAATTCCTTCGAAAATTAGGCTCATGCACCTGGAATAATATTTATGACGACCGCCTGTTGTTCCCATCACTTATTCCTCATTGTGGAACGAAATAGTCGGGCGAATCTCTGCATTTTTTTTAGATTTGGGGTTGGTATTTAGAGCCCTTGAGTAATATGCACAATCTGATGACAAAACTGAATGAGCATCATCATCGTTAATATAAAATAGATTAAGAACTTCTTGTATAATATGGAGCGGTATAGAGTACATAGATCTTTTTTTCTTTCAAGTTAAAGTTTGACGGTAGTATCCTTCCATTATTTCTCCCATGAAATCAGAATATATTCTTCGTAATACATCCTGATGGAAATTCTCGACTGAGGCTGATGATTTTTCTATTTTTGAGATGGAAGTTATTTCTCACTTAATTTTGAATGTTCTATCGATCTAGGATCCAGAATGTATGCTGTAGCATGTGTGATTAGAAAACGGCACATGCTGATAATTTGAAAGGCGATCATTCATTGTCAGAGATAAATATTTCCAATATAATACTTGACGAGCTTCGATAGACCGTGCATTGTAATATCGTGAATGATTTGGCATGCCAAGGCCGATCGGAGACGAACGCCTCTGGTGTTTATTTCAAAGATGCTCTATAGGTTTTGATTCATTGCCAAAATGTTTATTGAAAAATTCCCTATTTCTTCGAAAGACATACATCATGTCTTGAGAAAAAAATTGACGTGAAACAAGAATTTTTACATCAAGAAGAGATCACGCTTGAATGATCAAGCTCTCAGCTTTCTTTGAAAACCGTGCAAAATCCGTACTTACATTCGAAACATAAATATACGAATTGAATAAGTTACAAGGCGATCAATTTCTATATATTGTTGTATGGTCGGTTTTTTTCCGGTGAGTGTATTATGATTTATAACTATTGTTCGTTCTTGAAATATAGTTCACCTCATTACTTGGCAAATTATCGGTTCGTGTGATGAGGGGTGAATTCATTCCATTGCATGGTCGATATTTATATCAATTTTGTAATTGGTTCATGCAGCTGTGTTTGGAATTTCATATTCTTCAGAATTCAAGAAGATATTTTTCGCTGAGGAGAAAGAGGCGCATACATCAGATATTGATGAAGTTGGAATGGCAATAGTATCACTATAGGTACATCAGTGTGTCCCGCTTTTCATCAATATACCCTTATATCTCAGCTATTATTGATGCGATTTCCTTGAAATGTTGGTTGTTATGAAATGTTAGAACAATGAAGTATTTAGCAGAGTGAGAAGTTTTATTCACTATTAGCGTGCGATGCTGAGGGGTACAAAGAAGGCCTTCTTTCGGGAAAAATATATCAGAGCATATTTCAAATACTTCTTTCATGAAATTTAGAATCAGCAAACAAATCATAATCCCGTTTTTCATGAATCTGGTAGGAGAAGTTATCTAGAATGAGCCCTAATTTTGTTTTCCCATGAATAAAAGCCTTCTTTACCCGCAACACCGCACGCCAATGGTGAATGAATAGGACCACTTTGCCAAATACTCAATTGTTCCAACATACAATCACACAATTTTTCTAAGAAAATCACATCAGTTAGTTATTAGGGTGTATCCATGAAAAGCGGGACCCACTGTTATTGTTCGCATGTAGAATGACAAAATTGAAACAAATAATATAACCTATTTCTGCCCTTTCAATATGTCAAGTACACGATATCAAAAGGGAATGTAGTGGGCAATTTTCCATCTTTATTGCTATTGTTACTCAACTAGTGTATTAATCGCCTAGAACATTTTTTCTATCGAGATATAATTTGATTCACGAATTATAACTTTCGAAACTCGAAGGTCCTTATCGAAGAACAACTTTTATCAATGAGGTGATATGCAACAGTACAAGGGTTGGAATTATTATGAACATGAAGTGAAAATATCTCATGAGATGTGGAGATGCTGGCGTAACGTCTTCTTGGAACTGAAACAGGAATCGTCAATGAGGTCAGCGCATCCCATAGGAACAGGAAGCTTAACCCTGGACAGCTCGATTTCCTATGGTTGGTCTGTGGACGATTCCAGTTTACAGATTCCTTGTACTTGGGATATTGCCTACAATCTCTATGATTGCTCTTCTGATTGATTGGAGTTCGTTTAGATTATCAGCGAATTCCATTGGTGAAACTTACCCGCACTCACTGCATATTTTGTATTCCATTGGTAAAACTGGTTGCATGTTTCGAATTCTATTGGAAAACTGGTGCATATTGTTCAGAGCTCAGTGTAACAATTATCGCACGAGCTCTGATAGATCGTGCGAAGTTAGTTGGAAAATGGCGGAATCATTGCCCAGATAGCACTAGATAATTTATGGACATCCTAAGAATATTCCGTTTCGGATATTCGAATATTCTCTAGACCCACTTTAAATATTTATATTCTTTTTAGAATATTCTATGGACCATGGAAATGGAAATCTTTTTAAATATTCTATAGATATTCCGACAAGAATATTCATTGGATAATCCAGAATATTCATGGGATACCTTTGGAATATCTTTTCATCAAATATTTCTACTATCTATGGATTATTCCAAATCGATCATCCAATAGTAATCATTGAATATTCTGTAGGTATCCATAGAATATTCTGAGGTTTTGATTTTGATTCAGAAAATATTCTCGCTCTGGAAATATTTTATTATTCGAAGGTCTGTCTATACAACAATATCTGACAAATTTATGATTTGTATGGTGATTATAGCATCAATTCTTCGATCACGACTTTCTGGTCATTCCTGAAATTGTCAAACATATTATAATCCCAGATGCTATTCAGTATAACCTGAAAAGAAATTGAAAAAATGTAACAGGAAACATTTATTCAGAAAGTCATTTTCGCAACTTCAAATAACTCACCTGATGAGATTTTATTACACTGGACACTTGTATGAAAGTACATCTGAGTAAAGGTTTCATTATCAATATCCTCATTTCACCAAGTATAGGTATGTATAGATCCAGACTAATCACTTCTCTACAGATACATCATTTTCAGAACAGAATCTGGAACAAAAATGTTTTTCATGTACATATCAGTTTATCTATGACAATTATATAAAGTACCTATGTCTACTTGAGTTGGCTACATATAAAGAGAAACTCTTTTATTATAATATGGAGTTATATTTCATAAAACATACTGGATGGGCTGACACCAAAAATGTGATCATAAGATATGTTTTTTTTTTAAGTTTTATATGAGGTATGTCAAAAAAGCATCTATTCTATTCAAGAGGAAATAAGTACCTTTTTTTTCTGCATGTCAAGAAGACTGAAAAAAAAACAAACAATTTGAATTCTTGGTTTTAGGCCTAGCAGAACTATTTATGAAGAAATACTTTTTTCCTCAAAATTGATAAGATCAAAAAGTTTTCCATGTGAATTGATCAGAAATTAAAAAAAAATAGTAAAACCTGCTTTTCATCATAGGTAGATGTGATTAGATATTTGAACCTAGTTTTCAATTGCAGTAAACTTCTCTCCATAATACTTTTCAATATTGTCAAAAATGAAGGTACTTTATTCTTGAACAAAATTGATTGTTTTAGACATACCTATAGTATACGACTGGAAAAATCAGATATCTGATATTTGAATTGTACGTTTTGGGCCATGCAGAACTTTTTATGAGGAATAATAACTTTTTTTCGTGAAATTGATAATAAAAAAAGTGCCCCATATGTAGCCAACTTAAGTAGACACTCTGTATATATTATAGTTCAGAAATACCCCTTAGGGATGACTTTATTGAATTTACCTTCAAAATAATTGTTGGCCAATCTCTGAATTATTCCATAAATAGGTAGGTAGGCATTTTCTCATCATGCATTGGAGTATCACCATATTGTTTCACTGGAAAAATAATATGTAGATGTTATAGTTAGTAGGTATGCTATAATAGCTTAGTATAAAAATGAACCTACCTAATTGGTATTGACCTGATTAGATTTATTGTGCCTCATCTTCTCTTTTACTATCTCTAGGTCTTCTTGTTTATAGCAGCCCCTCAAGCTTCAATTCTATTAGGAATTCGAGGATTTTGAGAGGATCTGTTCCTGTATGGTATTTCTTTCAGGGTCTGCT